AGACCTGGCTCTGTTTTTGCTGTGCAATATAACATGTTGGTACAAGAATCACATCCCTTGTTTGAGGGAGAAGAGCGCAGGGAACAAAAGGTGTCCAATAAGGTGACCCGGTGATTCAGCGGGAAAAGTGAGCTTTGGATCGGTCTGTCTGTTCTCCTGTGGTTCTCATTCTCAAACTTAGCGATGGGGTGCCTCTCCCGGAAGGATGAAGTGGGGGACGGTAGGCCGAACCCCAGCACTGGGCCCCTTCTTTCTGTGGATTCACAGACGCTTGAGTTTAAACTTTTTAAAAATGTTTCTTGACGATGGGCAACCTTGAAGTCTTTCCTTTCCACCTTCCCGAAAGGATTGTAACCCTGTGTCGCGTGCTTGGTGTTAATAAATACTTCCTGCTTAACAGCTGCTTTACACTTAAAACAGTAGGTCTGCTGGGTTAAGAAACAGCTTTGCCTGAAACGTTTTCAGGTTTGTGTACGAGCAGGTGTGATTGATTACAGATACGAGGTTCCCTCTGCGCCTTTTCTGCCTTTTCTGGTGTCGTGTAGTGCAAGCTCACTGGACTCTCTCCGAGCTAAACCTCTGGGGTTTCAGCCTTCTAAATGTCACTGCAGAGACTCGCTCGTGACCCTTTTTGGCGAGCAGAGGGGCAAGTAACCACTCCACCCCCCACCCCTGGTCAACCACGGGGCCCAGGTGAAGAAGTGGCTTCTGGAGGCAGAGGACCCAGCTTGACTCCCGCATCCATCTTGGACCGGCTGTGTGACCTGGGACCAGTTCCTCCACCTCTCTGTTCTTCAGGTTCCTTGTTTGTTAAAGGGGGTGGTCTCCACTTCATGGGGCTTTTGTAAGGATCGAGGGTCAGTTGAGAATAAGTTCTTGGCATCACCCCTTCCCGGATGTCGCTGATGACGTTTTTCATTTCTGAACCCGACATCGGGTGTTCCTTCCCTAAAATGTCCTTCCTCTTTGCCAAATCCTACTCGAAAAATGCCCAGACCTTTCCCCTCCCAGGAAATCTCACGGGTGCTTATCACTCTGGCAACACCCCTAACCCCGCGCCAGGCCTCCTTTAAGCGGTCCCTTTGTCCACGGCGCTGGTATTTTACTGGATGCTGTGCAATGGCTTAAGCAACCTTTCTGGGAGAGACAAGGGGATTCGTTGCTGGGGATGCATCCGGACTCTCTGTAATGATTTATTTGGACTGTTTTTCCTCGTTGCAGACTCGTTCGTGGCTGTTACCAAACGGTGGGTTATTTAACTTTCTCAAGTGCATCAGGCGTTCATACCCTCCCATTTCCCACTGGGAGAGGCAGTGACATCAGTTTTCACACCTCGGGACCCCAAGGCGAGACGTGCATCCTCGTCCCGGTTAATAACTCTTTATGCCTCTCGATGTTCCTATTAAACGCGTGTTTGGTGCTGGAATTTGCTGACGGGGCACCCATCATCTCCGTTGTTCTCTGTGCATTATTTGCAGGAAATTCAGAGCCGCATCCTTTTGTGACACTGACAGAAATCAGTCTAGCCTCCCACGCTTGTTAGAGAGTGTGAATTTCTGTCCCTTAGATTTACAGGAACATATTCACATCTTCCCTGTCTGTCCTCTCTTAAATTATAAAATCCCAAAGGGAGGAGATGGGTTTTTTTTGTTCCTATCAATGCCCACTGGAGAGCATCCAGGTCAGGGCCGCGTGTGCAGAGGAGGTCCAGGGAATCTGTGGTGTCCACTGACTGGTCCAGGAGACAGCTGAGCTCCCTTCATCACCACTCGGCTTCCTTCCTACACGGCACTTGGGCCTGTTTGCTTGTGCCTTTAGTGTCTATGGGCTTGGAATCCCACATGTTTTGTTCAGTTCCACGACCAGCCTCTGCAGCCCGAGTCATCAGGTTTTGTCAACGATATAAGAACACCCGTGTGTGCACAGAAACACACACCTATGCATACACACACAAAGACGGTCTGATATCTGAGGCAAGAAAGATGGTACCCAGCGGTAATCACACGCGTGTACACACACACACACACACACACACACAGTATAGATGCCACATGGTGAATATTTAGCTTCAGCTCGTGCAAATATTGTCTAGGAGGAGTTGTTGCTATCCCCTGAGACAGCTGCATCCTCCAGAGGCCGGTGTCGTGAGTTGTGCCTACTGACCACTGGAGGGCTGACGACCCTGGCATTTCAGAGGACCGATAAAAGGCCCCTTCTCCCCAGTGGGTCTGAGATCCAGCTGTTTCTAAGAGAACCAGCTGGGGAGGAGTGAGTCTACCTGCTCGCTGGCTCTCTCTTACTGTTCAGCCTGCACTGGCTTGATCTGAATCAACAAACACATAATGGCTTTTCAAAAGAAGTGGTTTTTTCTTTTCATGTTTTTGGCATACAAACCGTATTCCACTAAGATAGACTCATCCGGAAAGGGAATCAAAGATCTGATCCAGTTTATAGAATGAGACCCTGGTCTTGAAGCACCTGAGGGGGTGAGAGATAACTGCCCTTTTCTTGCTTTACTTCCAGGAGTAAGGAGAGGCCGCACCAAATGCCCGGGCTCAGGCGTAAAGGAATCCTCAAAGTTTCTTAATTTGACTTTGGGAAAATTTTTCTGCAATTTTCAGCTTAGAGATGAGAATTATTTTGCTTGTGAAAAATTTGTCCCTAGAGAAGGGAAGTAGTTACCACGGAGAGTTCCCTCCTACCCTTCAAGTCGGCTGGACCCCATCTGAGCAGAGCCTCAGTCAGGCTTCTGCTGTTTCCCCCAACCTGGGGAGCCATAAAATTTATCTTTCAAACCAGGACACTTTGGGGAGTGAAAGGGGCCACTAATAATCCCCCTGGGGTAGCAGAGCCAACACTGGGCTGTAGGGTTGCCCTGTCCTGTGGTGGATGTCCCAAAGACAGGCTCTGGTGACCTGTCTGTGACATCTGGGTCAGGCTCTGCAGGTTCAGATGATGGAGGGACGCTTGTCTCCATCTGTGTCCCCAGGTGTTTCCCTTCCTCTTGCAGGAAGCCTGTCTGAAAGATCCTTCCTTTGCTGTGAACCGCAGCCTGGGTTCCCTGCCTCAGTCTCGGTCCTGTGTTTCAGATCCAGGCAGTTTGCCTCCATTAGGGATTAGCAAATAACCCAGGAGACCATGGGTGTTTGGCATAATCTGGCCCTAAGAAATGACACTTTTCAAATATATACCCAAAGGGGAACTTTATTTTATTTTATTTTTAATTGAAGTATAGTTGATTTACAATTTTGTGTTAGGTTCAGATGTACAGCAAAGTGATTCAGTTATACATACTTGTATATCCTTTTTTCCAGATTCTTTTCCATTACAGTTTACTACAAGACATTGAATATAGTTCCCTGTGCTATACAGTAAATCCTTGTTTATCTATTTTGTATCTGGTAGTGTGCATCTGTTAATCCCATACTTCCAGTTTATCCCTCACCCCCTTCCCCCCAAAGGGGGACTTTTACAAGGAAGGTAATCTCATGAAACCCAAGGGCTGGGTACCTTAGTCGGCCCATGAGGGTCAGAATGTCCTGTGGCACCCAGGCTGCCATTTGTCTGTATTTCTGTCTGTCTGTCTCTCTGTGTGTCTGTCTCTGGCTGCGTGGTTTCCCATCTCTGCTTGTCTCTGTACATCTGTTACCTTCTGTCTCTCTGTCTGGCTGCCCCCTACTCCCATTCGTGCACGTACGTCGTGGCTGCCCTTATATCACATGACCTTTCGGATGCAGAGCCCACACTGGGGGTCACGTGGTCCTTCCCCATTCCCGTCCCCCATCCCTGGGGAGAGAATCTGATTGGCTGAGCCTGGCATCCGAGTTGGTTCCCCCTGAGTCAGTGTGACCTGTAGAGCAGGGTCACCTCCTGCAGGAGGGAGGGGACGTGTGACAGCAGCCACAGTCCACACATAAGCACTTTGTATGGTCTGAGCACTTTGGTGCAGCCTCTCATTTAATTCTCACAAAACCCTTGTGGCATAGGTTCTGTTCTTACCCCATTTTATAAATCAAGAAACTAAGGCACAGAGAGGTTAAATAGCTTGTTCCGCACCACACGGCTGATGAGAGGCTGAGTCAGGAAGTGAGCCAGGCAGCCTAGTTCCAGAATCTGTGCTCAGTCCTGCTTCTCTTAAACAGGCAGTGTTAGGATGCCCCATTTTCATCTCTTTGCCCTTTTTCTGTTTTTTTTTTTTTCGTTGATAAGTCCTGTACTCAGAGATAACCGTGGCTTACTATTTGACATTTATATTTTCAATCTGTTTTCAGTACATACACATAAATTTAAACAAAATTGTGCTATCACGTTCTATATTATAATTTTATTTTTATTTATAATTTTATTTTTTTATTTATAAATTTTATTTTTATTTATTCTATATTATAATTTTTCCGTTTAGCAACATATTATTCAAATTTTTCTCATTTTTTTCTAACATCTTTCTTGGAGTATACTTGCTTTACAGTGGTGTGCTAGTTTCTGCTGTATAACAAAGTGACTCAGGGCTTCCCTGGTGGTGCAGTGGTTGAGAGTCCGCCTGCCGATGCAGGGGACACAGGTTCGTGCCCCGGTTCGGGAAGATCCCACATGCCGCGGAGCGGCTGGGCCCGTGAGCCATGGCCGCTGAGCCTGTGCGTCCGGAGCCTGTGCTTCGCAACGGGAGAGGCCACAGCAGCAAGAGGCCCGCGTACCACAAAACAACAACAACAAAAAAAAAGCAAAGTGACTCAGCTCTGCATAAGCATATATCTTTTTACCCTTTTTAGTACCCATACGTTGGGCACTGAGTGTCTGTTCAAGGACTGATTGATGAATGAACGAGTAAGTGAATGAATGCAGGCGGGGAGGACTAGGCAGAAGCACACACGGGCCCTCAGGGAGTTAGGAAATAGACCATTTTCCAGCCCTGAAAGCTTCCTCCAGCTGCTGCTTGTCCAAGTACTGACGTGCCTGTTTTCAAACTACTCTCTCTTTCCATCCCTCTCTTTTTTGCTCAGACAAGAGTGAGAATGGCGAGGCATATCAGCGGAAGAAGGCAGTGACCACCGACCTTCCAGAGGGCCCAGCTGCCCCTGTGCTGTCTCAAGGGAACCCGGTGCTGCCCGGCGGCAGCAGCTGGAGGAGGATCGTGCTACTCATCTTGGCCATCACCATACACAACATCCCAGGTGAGGTCTTGCCCCGAGCGGTCCAGCCACGGGTCTGAGGGTGAAGTGACTCTGTCAGCTCAGTTGCCTGGCTGGAAAAGGGGCTTGGGCAATCGTGAGGCTGGTCCTTTCTCGAGGGGGCATGCGGGAGGGAGTGCAAAGATTTCTTGAGTTTATTTTTTGGGTTACCGGCTCTGGATTGATCACTGCGTGTTAAAACTTCTGGTCCCAGTTACCGCAGACAGTTTCACTCCAGTTTCCACCTATGAGTTCCTTTCTTCACATATTTGATACCAAGTCGTTTGGGCATAAATTCATAGCTGTTGCCCGATCGCTGTGGCTTGCACCTCTCGTAAACACAGAGTGTCTCTGGTTCTTCTTAATCCTTTTTAAAAGTATTGAATTCAGTACAGTTGTACACTGATGTTTGCCTTACCTGCTTTCTTCACGGGGACATCTTTCTGAGATGTCATTACCGTTACCGAGTCCAAGCTCGTACTGCTCACCATGTGACAGGTCAATAAATCGAGAGATGAGTTGTTGGGGTGAGGGATAGCGACTTTATTTGGAAAGCCAGCAGACCGAGAGGATGGTGGACTCGTGTCCCAAAGAACCATCTTGCCTGGGTTAGAATTCAGGCTTCTTTTATACTAAAAGGGGAGGGAGTAAAGTCAGACATTTCCTGGTTCTGGTCAGACTCCGGAGGGGGTGTGTTAATTTCTTCCTCCCTGCAGCCGTTCACAGGTGGGCCTGGTCAGGATGTCTCCTCTGAGCTAAACAAAGGTATTTTCTTTCCCATTACCTGGGAGGCAGGGTTCCCAGAGATGGGCCATTATGTATAATTTGAGCTTATAGGCCACATCCCTTTAGTGGTGAATTTGTAACAGAATACAAAGGTTCTTCCCTATTACATTACCAATCCTTTCCTTTTTAACATTTTGGAGTAATTTGTTTTGTGTCTTTGGATTTATTTTAATCGATTGGTGTTCTGTTTCAAAAATAATATGTTTTATATGGAGTAACTAGAAAAGACAGATAAGCGTGAAAAAAGAGTAAAGATATTATTAAAAAAACAAATTGAGAGACCCTGAGGATCTCCTTGGGTTACATTGCGGAATTCCAGCTCTACTACTTAACTAACTAGTTTATCTTGACAAATGACGTGAGCTCTCTGAACCTTGGTGTTCTCATCTATGAAGTGGGGATAATGCTACTACTGAGATAACTGGGATATTATTTACAAAGTGAACTATACCAATTTTGATAATTAAAGAAGATTATATATATATACAGTAGCTGGGCCATTTGAGCATTTGAAAAGTGGTAGCTGTTATTAGCGTTAATAATACTCCTGACTCCTTCAGTCTTGTGTTCTTAAACATTCTGATCCATCTTTCATAGTTTTGGAACTCAAGTCTGAGTGACAACCTTGCTCAGGGAGCAGCCCCAGGTGATATATTATCTGAGTCCTTGCAGAGTTCATAATGTCAACCTGTTACCCCAGTACAGGAGCAGAGACTGGACTAGGCATAGCTTTTGCTAGAGGTACCTATTTCTCCTTGTAGCTCTTATAGATGTTGCTCTGGTATCTTCTGGCTTCAATACTGTGGAAACGAAGGCCACGGCCAAACCGAGATTTTTCCCCTGTGTGTGCCTTGATAGCCTTTTGCTTGTGCAGTGAAGACTTCTTTTGGTCATCTTTAAGGAATGAAAATATCAATATGTTGTCTGTTGCAGTGTACATATGAAATCTCTCAGAACATCTCGTCTAATCACTCAGCTCAGATCTTCCTCTAGATGAGAAGCCTTTTCCTCTCTTATTTCTATCCTGATCTTAGGAATTTCTATCATAGGATCGTATAGGCCAATTTGCTCCCACTTTTTGTCAGCATCTGTTTCCCTCTCATTTTTCTCTTGGCTTTTTTCCCTTTGGGTTCTGAGTCAACTATTTTGGTTGTTTTCCGAGAGCTTGCTATTCAGTATGTCTTGAGATGATGTCTTACGTGGGACCCCAGCACACAAATCTGACCAAAGTGGATTTGCCTGGGTGGAAGGATCTGGTCATACTCACGCCCAGTATGTTAAAGAGCTTATCGAGAGACCAGGGTCTCTGCAGAGGGCACAGTTCCAAAACCTCCACGGTCACTTTCAACCTGTTAAATGCTAATCATTCAAGAAGAGAAGTTACTTAGGCCGTCTTTTCAGTCATAATAGTTAGCGGCTGTCTTTCTGCCATTTAAGACTCCTTCTTTAACCAGCTGAAAAAGAATAAAGATCTAAATACAAATAGATGTGTTTCTGAAGGCCCCCCTGGGGCTCAGTCCCAGAGTCTCAAGCTTCTAACTTCAGTCTAAAGGGAAGTTCACTCGCCCACCGTTGCCTTCTGACAGCTTCGTGCCTTTTGATGAGAACCGTTTCAAGAGCTTGTCTGTCGCCAACTTATCTTTGAAAAGGTCTCTTCTTTAGCGCTAGCCTTCATGGTTTATTAAAAATTTAACTAGAGCTTTGATGTTCCCCGAGACTCTGGGTTTAAAGGTAGATTTTCACAGCAACTAAATGGATAATTGATTTTTTTGAAGTTTTTTTGTCTTGGCTGGTTCAGTTTTGTATGTCCTGGGGATGACATTTTGTTTAAAAAAACCTTTTTTTTAAAATGTAGGAGTTAAAAGGAAATCTTATTAGCCCGTGTGCTGTCTCCCAGAGGTTTCTGGAGCGCGAGGACCCACACGCAGACATGAGTGCACACCCAAGGCACTTGGCTTCATATTTTAGACACGTGTGCAAGGATAAATGAGTCCTGAAACTTCTGTGGTTCACAGTCCCCCCAGGAATCTGCTAAGGGCTATGGACCCTCTTGTAAGAGAAGGTTGCACGCAAACCAGTTACCAGGCGGTTTGGGGTATTCACAGATCTCACGAAGTCCACCCACGGCTCCAGAGCAGGAAGGAACCCCTGCTTTAGAGAAACAAACTGTCCAGCCGTGCAAGGACTTGAAATGTTTCAGGAGGAAAGGGTGATGCCCGATGGAGGCCAGCAGACGTGAGCCCTGCTCACCGGCGAGTGGTGGGTTCAAAGGCTCCCGAGGATGTGGGGGGCTTCCCCCTTCACCAAACGTTCCTTCTATGGCTCGGCCCGGGGAGCTGAGCCCTTTGGAAAATGATCTCCCAAGGAAACGGCATGTTTTCTGTGAAAGCAACCCCACTCTGTAGCCTTGGGAGCACACTGTCTCTTAACGGGCTTCTCCTGCCATGTCATACAGACTCCTGGGCTCGGAGCCTTCCAGGGATTTACGGGCTTTCGGAAAACAGGCTCCCTCTCTGTGTCAGAGTGGAATTAAAAATCAACCAGCCATGGAGTTCCCACTAATCTCTTTTCATAAGTAGCTTACGGTCTTTGTACGTGAGAACGTTAAATTTAGAGCTTAAAGGGATTCTAGAACTTATCTCATTTAAGCACTGCTCCATCGGAGAATTTGGTGGGGTTGGCAGGGAGGGGGGGAGGGGGGGAGGAGGCGTGTGTGTTAATTATCCCTGTGGTTCCTTCCAGCTCTGGCACTGGATGATTTGGTGAAAAAGAAGACAAGTAGTACATTGTTAATTTCATTTATTTCACAGTGTTCATCACTCCTTTCTGGGTGACACCTCCCTGTATCCTGTGTCTGCCTCTGTCTTGATAGTTATCACTCTGAATGCAGTTATTTGAATGTATCTGTGTCTCCCCCGTACATGGAGCTTCTTGCAAGAAGGCCTGTGCCGTCTTGTTTTTGGAACCCATGTTACAGTTCATATTGAAGCACATTATATATTCCGGCTCTGGGGATGGCTGGTGCATTCGGGGACCTGGCCTCCTTTCTAGGAGGGGAGTCAGGTGTCTCAGTTTCCTATCCACCTTGGCCGCCAGGTGGGCTAAGGGACGCATTTAACTTCTGTGGGTCTCTGGGATACACTGGACTTTCCTTGCTGTTTGACGTGATTCATAAAGGTCCATAGAAAAAGAGGCTGGGTAAATCGCACACTTTATATTTCCTCTCATCAGAGCCAGGGGTCAAGTTTGCTTTGCTGGTTGTGACTGTGACGCAGAGAGAGCTGGAGGTCACTGCCTGTGTCTCTAGAACAGCAGGACAGTTGATTTTAATTGTTTGGCTTGTCCTCCTGACGGCTCCTAATAGGACCCCATTTCATGGCTTTAGATGAGACGCTTGACGTTTTCATCAGAAGTGATTTTGTTTGAGGGAACAAAACCCCACAGATTTATACACTAATATGTTAACAGTGGTTGGTTATTCTTGGGCTTATGGAGTTACAGGATTACGGCTGATTTTTATTTCCTTCGTGTTTTGTGAGATTTATAACTCAACTTTTCTGTAATGAATATTTATGATTCATGTGATCAGATAAAAATGCTTTTTGTTTTTATTTTATTTTTTGTATTGAATTATAGTTGATTTACAGTGCCTTTTAAATTAATTAATTAATTAATTGATTTTATTTTTGGCTGCATTGGGTCTTTGTTGCCGCACGTGGGCTTTCTCTAGTTGCGGCGAGCGGGGGCTACTCTTCATTGGGGAACACGGGCTTCTCATTGCGGTGGCTTCTCTTGTTGTGGAGCAGGGGCTCTAGGCGTGTGGGCTTCAGTCGTTGTGGCACATGGGCTCAGTAGTTGTGGCACGCGGGCTCTAGAGCACAGGCTCAGTAGTTGTGGCTCGCAGGCTTAGTCGCTCTGCGGCATGTGGGATCTTCCCGGACCAGGGATCGAACCTGTGTCCTCTGCACTGGCAGGCAGATTCTTAGCCAGTGCACCACCAGGGAAGTTCCTACGGCGTTGTGTTGATTCCTGCTGTACAGCAAAGTGATTTAGCTATATATATCTATATATCTATATATCTCAGCCTCCGTGGTCACACTGCATCCGTTTCTGTATCTTATCTCCCCCTGCCTCCTTCTTATAAAGACCCTGTGACTGCAGTGTGGGCCCCACCCAGGTAATCCGGGGGTCGTTACCCCATCCACAGATAATCCAGG